TGCCATCGTATAAATAACATAATGCTATTTAGTTTAATAAAAGAAAAAAGCAAAGACCTGTTATATATAAATTACTTCTGTCGTTATTCGACGAAAATAAAATAAAATTAACTTGACCTTCAAGGGGGGTGGGGGGCTAATATAATGGTAAGGGAAACACTGTGATTCAACCAAGCAAACATTAGGTCAACCAATGATGATTTAATAAATATTGTTTTTGCAAAAATGGCTGGTCATTTCATAAAGTAAAATGATTCAATGATTTTCAATTTGAATGGCATTATTTACTTATTGACTTGTTTTAACTAGCAATTTTCAAATCAAAAAGTATTTTACATTGTAAGTTTAAGCCTCATTTTTAAGGTTTTGTTGCTATAACTTTCGTTCAGCCATGACTGAGTCTCATGATCATTTCTTCTCTCTCTACAGCTCTTATATTCCTGTTTTACCTGGCCTTCTATGGCTTCTTGGCGGGAATGTTCAGCCTTACCATGTGGGTCATGCTCCAGACACTGGATGACCATACTCCCAAATACAGGGACCGCGTGGCCAATCCAGGTATGGATTCAGTGCTAGTTTCTTAGGTGCTTAGTCGCAAGTATAGTCTGGATGTTCCATCCTTTTCTTCTTCCTCAGATTTCTTCCTTGCTTCCTTTTGTCATTACATAATTGTGCAATTATTTTGTAAAAATGAACGTTGTGTACTTGTATATTTGTTTATTTATTTTCTTATAATAGAATACAGCTTCCATTCTGCTCATGTGTTCTCTCTCACAAGCTGCTCTATGATGCCTGTAGCGGGTGGATGACAGGAATTCTTACAATATAGGATTCAAAATGTACTGGAATAGAAATGCTTGTAGGGACGTGGTGAACTAAAGTTTAGTCGGCAGTCTTTGGTGCCAGAAAACAAGTTTATACAAGCGTTCCCTTTGGATTGTATCTTAATGCATCTAGAGCTTAATCATTTGAGGAAATGACTCAGGATCTCACTCTGCTCTACTTTGACTAATGTCCAAATCAGTCCAGTATTTTACCGTTGATTGTTATCGATCTGCTCAAGCATCTCTGTTTTCTTCTGAAACCACATTTGGGTCTAAAAAAACATTAACGCAATGGAATAGGATGTGATTTATTCAGAGCTATTTTACCCCTGCACCCGCTGCAATTATAGCACACAATCTCAGGCTTGGCGATGCTCACATCATCCATTAACCTCCCACACGCTCCGCAGCCTACACCCTCCTGTACAGTGCTTTCGACTAGAGAGTCTGCTTACTCGCTCTCCCTCACCATCATTCATTCATCCCTGAGTGTCAATTTATTCCTCCCACTGATGGTGCTCATTCCTTCTTTCACTAGCTCCCTCCACCTCTCCTGAGATCTTTCAGAAACAGAATGTTCTCAGAGCAGACAAGTTTAGTTCAGCTTCTCTGCTCTTTAGTGCCTGCTCCTCGGCAATACAGCGAGCCAGGGGTTAATGAGCGTCATTAATAACCTGAAGACCTGCTAAAGTGATGATGATGATGATGATGATAATGATGATGTCTAACAAGTAAATTACACACAGGGGACAAATATATCGTGGATGCACTGTTAATTTTTCTGCTTTTCCCTTGATGAATAGATCTGTGATTTTCATCATAGCTGCACCTCAGCAGTGAACAACTGAATCAGAGAAATCGCATTGATATCTATTATTTTAATTGTACCATTTTATTTTAGTTCATAAAAAATAGAATAAATGGAGGTTTGCATAAGATTCGTAAAAAATTCAGAAAAAGTTGCAGCACTTCCAAAGATTTTATAATGGGTCCAAGTCTGGAGACCAGCCAGTCTTCTCAATACAGTGCAGTCATCCTGCTTCCTTTGCTGGAGGCACCCCAATATCATGATGTTTCCACTTCCATGTTTATGGATGGAGATAGTGTTCTTAAACCCAATCTTTTGTTTTTGTTTCACCTGACTACATGATCTTACCCTATAATCATTCAAGTGGTACTATATGGCCTGCACATGAGCAGGAGGAACCTACTAATGGGTTTTTTTCAGGAAAGTGGATGACTCCAGGATCTTGAAACGCATATTATAGAGCACTGGCTGTGTTTAAGGTCATTGTTCAGCTGATAGAACCAGCCATGAACCATTTAAAGTGCTGTTAATGAGGATAGGAGACACTTATTGATGCATGAAAGTCAGTTTAGTCATAAGCACAGACAGCTATTAACCACTTATGCTTCATAATTGTGATGATGTTCTTAAACTCAGTCTTCAAATATAGTGGAGTTCAATGCTGAAAGTTATGTTGTGATGAAATTTTTCTAGAGGTGGTCTTTGTTAAGCTTCATGTGGACTGGACTTGTTCTGCTTTAATAGGAGTACCGTCCAGGGATTTACAATATGAGGGCTTAGTGTGTTATCAATAGGAACCATGAATAACCACAGCTTATCCTCCACAAGGAAAGATGCTGCATGGAGACCGAGTCCAAGGGTGATCAGTCATCTTGAAGTGCCTAAATCATAATTTTGTTTTAAAGTTGTTTTTCAGGCAGTGTGTAACATATATCTAAGATGGAGGAACATACGTTTTGAGTTTTAAATGTGAAGGTGCCATCTGTTTCGAGTTATAGTCAGTAATAATGAAGTCAACTCTGAGATGCTGAAACGAGTTCTTTGTTCAACTGAATCTTTAGCTCAAATCTTTAGTAACTATCTTTAGATACTTAACCACTGACGTGTCATATATTCATGTTGCAAACAAAGCTCCTCCTACTCCCAATGCCAACTGGTTTCTTGTAGTTTCCTCATGTGCACCTACATACATTTGAGTAAAAATGTAGTCACAAATGTGGTTGTCCTTTATTTCGGGTAGTTAGAGGAGGATAAAGAACCTAAAGGCTTATAGACGCAAACCTTTTTTTGCAGCTATTACCAGATGTTTTTGGCTTTACACTACAGTGGGTGATGGAGAGATTATTCACAGTAGACCATCAACCACACTGTAAAATGTCAAACTTGGCAGTCTCATATGTTTTTGTTTGCAAGCAGTCAGAATTATTTGATTGGCTCCTTTAACATCATATGAATATATCGATCAGTAAAACATGGAGATGTTATTGGGGTTTTTCCATTTGTGTGGACGTGATCAGACTTGATCCAAGGTGTGTTTGCTGGATAACAAATACTATAACTATGTTTACAAATACATGATCAGTTTTTGTGTTCTGTTAATGTTAGCACCAGCAAAGGGCATGAGTGACTTTGTTATTTCCTGAGAGTCAACAAACCTTTATGTGAGATTTTGCACGTGGAGAAAACACATAGATGGGGCCTAATGTCTATTAAAACTGCAAGCACATATAGTCTGTGATGAACGTTTAGTTCTGTGCAGGCCTTGACTTCTTTTTGCTGGTTACCAAAGAATTATGTCATGGAACAAAATAGAGATCCTAAAATAAGACTTTCTATAGTTTCTTGATTCTGTCTCTTGGTTGATCTAACGAGGGGAAGTGTTAGATTGTATCAATAGATTATAAATAAAGAGAATTTTCAAAGTGTCTTATTGCAAAAATGTTAAGCTTTTGTAGATGTTTCAAGAATCTCTCTTTGCTGTGTTTCATCCTAGGGCTGATGATCAGGCCTAAGTCTCTGGACATCGAGTTTAATCGCTCAATTCCTCTGCAGTACACCAAGTATGTGCAGCACCTGGAGGTCTTCCTGCAGAGTACGTTTCTCAGCCCGGGAACACCATCTGAACATAAAGGAATTAACTACTATTCCACGAATGTTGCTTTTCTTTTTGTTCTGTTCTCTTCATTGAGCTTGACTAATACAATTTAAATGTGTGCATTTCACTCAAGTATTTATTCAAAGCTACTTCAGTTTCAAGCAATGAACGCAACCGATCAGTTACTTTGCCTGGGATTAGAACCCACACTCTTGCCAACTCTGTGCTCTACTAACGGAGGCACAGGAAGAAAATCTCAGTTTTTAAATGTAAAGTCAGCCCAAGCTGAAGGGAGACAAAAGGCACCCTGCACAATTCTAACTAAGAATCTGCATAAAATGACATTTTATTGCAGATGAAGAACATCCTAGTGGACACCTGTGGCTTCCAAACAGTACCCTCAGGTCTCTCGAATTGTTTGGCAAGAACATGTTAATCAGGCTGAGAAAGGTTACTGTTGGTTCAGTTCATCATTGACCTAGTGATGATAACTGATGAGGTGAGGCTAAAAACCAAACCAATACATTACAAACACTTCAGTCTTTAATGAGCTTGAATAATAGTGGACTTCTGCAAACTGCTGCAATCGAATGGAAAATTTCAAATCAAGACTTGGTTTTAGTGACCGATAATGCCTCTAATATGGCTTTTGCAGCTCTGCCTAGGAAGTTGTTAGGGGGGCTGAGGTGCATTGTGGCTTTTTTTCTTTTCTTGAAACAAAAACAGCTTAATCGGTCATGTCATAAACTGAATAATCACTTGATGGAACAGTGCATGTGACGAGCTTGAACGATTCCTTGAGCAACAACTGGCGGTTTGTGCAACATCGCGGCCGGTCACCTGAGGTAACAAAGGGAGCATCTGAAATCTTCACTCTTACATGAGATTCTAACTATGAACAAAAAACAGAAACTATTTATTTTAAATTTAATATTAAAAAAAGTCTTAAGAATCATTTTGGAATTGGATAAAATTGGACAAATCAGATTCGTATCCCTATAGAATATTAGTAGATTTCTTAAAACTAACTTACGTTAATGTTCTAACAGCAAGTTGTTTTTAAACCAAAGAGATAATGAAGAGAATTGAAGACAGTTACACCATAAAAACAGCCAGGGCAACAAAGGAGTGCTTTTGTTAGAAGCATTCTCCAGACTTGACCTCTACATAAACTGGAGAATACCTATATGTAGGACTAGGTGGAAAAACCCTGCTGCATTTTGCAAACCTAGTAAAGAACTGCAACTCTGTACAAAATTTGTTATTATTTTCTGTTTTATCAGTTGCTCAGTTGGTAGAGCTTTGTGCCAACAATGCAAAGGCTGTGGGTTCAAATCCCAGAGAAAGCAGGAACTGACAAAAATATGTTCATTCATTCAAATGTAAGTCGCTTTGGGTAAAAGCCAAAGCCAAGTCTGCGAAATGCATAAATGTAAATGTTATCAGATACAGTATTTGTTCTAGTCCATAATATACCACTTCTATAAGCTGGTTAAATCAGGGCCTTAAAGGGTTTGAATTTGACATGTGTTACCCTAATAACCTGCTTAGTCATGGTTGCCACATGCTAATGAAGTGGTAGTTCATATTTTATAGTATAGTTTGCTAATTGGACGTTTAGTTTCTAATGAAATGTTGACATGTTAGCACCATGCATATGTTATCAAGTTATGTTTACTATACCAAAATATTAATGACATGTTATTAAGCATAACTTCATGCTAGCAACGTTCTAACAAAAGCCTAATTCATGCTAGAGTTTAGCTTATTTATTAATCCATGATAGCATCATGCTAAAGACGTCAGTTCCTCGTATCATTTTGTTTTTTTTGCTTAAACCATGTTAACGATGGGTTAACTCATGCTAGAATGGCTTCCTCAAGCCGCCATAAAGTTTTCAAACTTTAAAATCTAGTTGACCTAATCTATTTGGGTTTCTTTTTATTGTGCTTAGCATCTCAATGTGTAGTTCCTAAACTGTTATTGGTCAACTCCAACACATGATGTCAAGCCTCTTCAGATTTGACTTTCTCTCTTGCTGTCTCTACAGAGTACAACGATTCTCTGCAGGAGAACAATGTGGCGTGTCCCCAGGGTATGTATTACGAGCAGGATGATGTAGAGGAGAAGAAGGTGTGCCAGTTCAAGAGAAGTGTGCTGCGCCAGTGCTCCGGGTTGGCTGATTCTACTTTTGGATACTCCGAGGGACAACCTTGCGTCCTAGTTAAGATGAATCGAGTGAGTTTATTTTGTAAATGTAATCATCAAAGGTGGTTTTGGTCTGTGATATCACAAAATGTGAGTGTTAAAACTTTCAAGTGTACTAACTGTAATTCAGGAAGGATATAAATGCGCACATAATTATGTGATGTTTACACTCTGCTCATTCAAATGCTTGGGGACGAACCCTGAAATAAGGGCATAAAGCAGATGCTGGGATCATTAGCAGACTTCTTTCAGCTGTAGCTAGTCATCTGTTCTGTTAGGAAATCATCAGTTTCTTTGGTGTTTGTTGACTGGCTGTATTCTCTCTGCAGGTCATAGGGCTCAAACCACGAGGAGACCCTCACATCCTCTGTTCAGCTAAGGTAACAACCATTCGTCGAACCCAGAATCCTCCTCAATCAACCAAGAGTCTTTTCATCAATCGTTCATTTGATTTTCACTTTCAAAACAAGAGACGAGTTTGCAAATATGAGTTTAAACATATATTTGATGTTTTTTGACAAATGTAAAAAGCACTGGACAATTGTAGATTTGAATCATTGCTAAAAATGTATGAACCATTAACATATTACTGGTAATATGAAAAATTTTCTCTAAGGATTAGCTGTGCGGGGGATTATGGCTAATGGTTCTTATCTCCTGGGTAGTCACGTATGGGAACACATGAGATTTCCCTGGTTTCTTTCTGATATGTAAAGATTTACTGTTGTTTACTGTAAGATTCTATCTACATTTTTCCATTTTAATTTTTGTTTTTCAATCCGATATTTAAAAAAAGTAATTTTTTTTTTTTTTACATTTTAAAATGAAAATAGGGAAGATTGCATATAATTTGATTAAAGTTGATTTGTTTACTATAAGATTCTATCTACATTTATATCCATTTTATTTTTTTGTTTTTCAATCAGATATTAAAAAACTAAATAAAAAATGTTTTTTACATTTTAAAATGAAAATAGGGAAGATTACATATTTGTTTGCATATAATTTGATTAAAGTTGATTTTAAAAAGGATGAACGTAAGAAAACCAAATGAACGATCAACGCACAGATTGAATTACCGATTTTCAGTGCAACAGGAAAACTACGTGTTTTTAGAGTTGAAACAATAAAATTATTGTTTTGTTCAGAGTAAGGTAGCAAATGTTTCCATCTTGCGGTTCACTTGTTTGTATCTGGTCTCTCTCCACGCTGCAGCACCTTGAATGGTGGGTAAGCTGTTGGGGCACAGTCGCCCCCCCCTCCATTGTTTCCCCTGGGTCCTTGCTCCCTTGCTGCCTCTCTCTTCTGCTTTTAGCTACCCTCATCCTAATACTTGGGTATACCTTCAGGAAACCTGTAGCATTGCTCACCAACGGCTCCTAAACCCATGCTGTCTTGCTGTGGACTCACTGGAACGTTCTGATTCATAATTACGATAGCGAGTGTTCCAAGCTTTTGACTGTATCAGCAGCAACGCGAAAAGCAGTCACCTTGTTAAACCCAAATAATGGTGCTATCGCCTTTCTTCAGGGTGATTGTCTAGATATGCTTCCAAACAGCTGCTCTCTTGCGGTCTTTCACTTCACAATTGCCCTGGAGTGTCTCTGTAGAGATCCTGAAGACCCTGATGAGCTGGTTTTTGGTGTTTGAGACTCAAGGTAAATGTGCTCCAGTAACAGTGTTGCTCAACTCTCTAGGTACAGCACAACAGAAGCCCAGCCCTCTTTAAAAAAATGAACTACTCAATAAGTACATGAAAAACAACATGAGATTAGCTTGAGGGAACAGTGTCCTGATGAGGTCCTTGTTTGGCTTGGGACATTGCATTGACTTGATAGAAATATGTGTACGCTTCCATTCCAGTCTGTTTCTCAATGTCAACAAGAAGAAAAAAAAAGTCTCTTTTAGAAGCAGTTGTCTAGATTGACAAGAATCCACGTTTAACTTTTACAGGGCTGTTATTGTTCTTTGATTGATCCGGATTTTATGTCTCAGCAAAATGCTTCATGTCCCATGCTTCCACCTCACTCGCGCCAGTGCAACTATCTCTTTGAATGTTTTAAACAATATAAATGTATTATACTGGATGAATTGTTGCTGAAACTTTAAGATTCAGCTGTGGTGTGATCAAACCTGTCAATCAAATGATTTCACTGTGTTTACAAAGATTTTAACGAACACTTCATTTGAACATTTTTTGTAATGAGCACTGATCAGGAATTGTTACCCAGGGATTGTTACATAATTTGGTCAAGTTTGGTCCCAATCAAAGTGTTGAAGACTCATAACCTTTAACTTTATTTATCAGACTCTTATGATTGGAAGATAATCTTCTGTATATTTTGTGATTGTTAGACAAACTCTGTCGAAGGAGCACATTTTTATATGTTTATTCCCAATGTTCAAAATTCTCTTGAGAACCTTTTACCATCCTCATAGTTTCTCCATTTTTCATTACTGAGACCTCTCATCCATCTTACCCTAGAAGTTATACAGAGGACAGAGCTCATAGGAACTCTGTCCTCTGAATGTTTACCACTTCTGCTGATGTTTCCTGATATTTAGTTTTTTTTTATATCCAACTAAAGAAGTTCACACACTTACCCAAATTTCATGTGCAAGCATTTATGCAAGAACGCCACCGAAAGCATTCACGCTTTGGTGAAATATGGAACATGTTTGACTATGCCAAGTTTCATTGTGTTTTCATGAGACCATGTCTTGTGGCTGACCTGAGTTCTGTAAACACATTTATAATAAAAAAAATAAGATAAAGATTAAAAAAAGGTAAGAGGAGAGCTGATTTTTCCTGGGTGGCCAGGAAAAATATAGGGCTGTAAGACAAACACAAAGATTATAAAACAAAAGAGTGTTCCCTGAGTGCCATCTGATGGTAGGGAGTGACACTACATCTAGTCACATGACCGGAAAACCCACGCATGAAGTACGGCTAAGTGTGTGGAGACCTTTAAGCTGAGACAGAACAGTGTTTCATTGGGACTTTCACACATGAGAGCTGTTTAGCTGGTCCTGGAATGTTTCTAGCTTTTAACAGATTGAGTCTCTTTCGCACTGATGAACAATGTGAAAGGGTGCTGGATCACCCCCTGTAGGTTGGCTGCAATATTACAATTGAGTGCTGTAATTGGCTTACACTTCTGCACTTGAATCCCCATGTGCCTGTCTGAATCCCACTGTTACCAATACATTTAACATACACATACATGTTTTATTTATTTTAACAGTTTTGCTAGTTATAAACGAAGACAGAGCTTTCTCTTGTTTACATCCAGTGTAACTGTTACATTTTTTTCTATCAAGAGGTAAGATTAAAAATAGTCTCACTTCAAGATTTTCCTTGTGGAACCCCACTATTCTCCAAAATATCTGTTTTATCTGGCTACCTGTACTGACTTTTAAAGGGTTTTCTCTGGTTGATTAGCCGAATACTGGAGCGAGTTCATTCAGAAGGGTCAGTGTTTGTGTGAAATCCATGACTGAAACACTGCCGGTTTTGAGCTGCTTTTCTGAGGGGTATTAATCACTGATAATCATGGTGCTCACCGCAAGCTAACGATGCTTTAAAGGAACTAAAACACATAGCTTTCCATTAGACGGCGCTGTCTGCTAGCATGCATCACTCTGAGCAATCCCCAGAACCGCAGCCAGCCATCTACAAAGCTTTCAGCCTGTCATTTCTCGGGGTTCCTTTACTGAAAGATGAACCCGTTTTTAAAGGAACTGTTCCTGAGCTGTGGATACAGTTTGATGCTTCCTGACGGTGTGACTGTGAACTGTGTGTTCTCTTCAGGAGGTCAGATGGCTCTGTGCTTCTGATTTTTCTTTAACAGTGTGAGTGCTGCGAGGCCAGTCTGTTGCTACTGGTGACAGCGTGGTTATCACATGACTGTTTGGTATAAGTGCGGCTGTGTGATCTGATGCATTGTGTTGGTGTCTCCTGCTGCAGAGAGAAACCCCTCTCCAGATGCAGTACTTCCCTGATGAGGGCGCTCTGGACAAGAGCTACTTCCCCTACTATGGCAAAAAACGACATGTGAGTACCATATAGCACCTGCCACAAACTCTGGAAGCCACACTGAAGTTCTTTTCTGTTTATCTGTTAAAGAGCTGTGTTTCACAT